AGCGTTATCTGTTCCTTTCTTCTCTACTTTACAGATCAAAAAAACCTAAGGCCGGAGATTACATCACTTGCCCTAAATAATACATCTAGCAATTGAGGAAAAAAATCATCAGGTTAACTCAAATCTCCACGGGGAATGTACCAATGCCTTTTCTATAAAGCAGGTCACATCTAGATAAGCAAAGAGCCTCTGAAGAACCTTCCAGACAGAGGCAAGGGGATGAAGTGGTAGTAAGCTTGTCCTATGCGCTTGGTAGTCAGAGATTAGGGCTGAACTGGAGGGGTAAAATTGGATCAGTAGGGTAGAGCTACACATGTCCGACAGCCCCAATTTTATTCTGAGGAACCTCCAAAGAGGGCAGGGATAAAAATCAATGCCTTCAGAAGATTTTTTAGGGAACATGATTTTCTAAACCTTGGTGATTCATTATGTAATTGCACTTTCTTTAAATCTTGAAAAACTTGCTGTTGAGTAAATTAAGCTGGTTCTATTAAATTGCAAAGTCTACTTCGAATGGATCAGAAAACACTTTAATAGGGCATAGTTTAATAAATTCAAAACCTAAACTTTGTGTTTTGAAATTTCCTTTGTGCCCACTAAACAGTGCTCCATTTTTACATGAATTCAGAGATTGTCCCTTCTATAGGAAGGCTGTGAGTTCTTAGATACTTTGCATTCTAAGAGGTTTAAATTGCTCTGTCCTTAAGCTCAGATCCCAACCCTCAAATACAGGCATTATAAATGTCCTATGAAGTGTGGCAGCCCCCAGTGATATATAATGGAATACTTAATGCTGTAAGGGAGCAAGGAGCAAATTTCTTTTATGAGCATTGAGCAGGGAATACAAGGCCCTAAGTGAGCAGTGCTAAGTGCACCAGCTGCTGTCAATCAATATTTTGACCATTAATAGTCATTTGAGCTTTCAGTCCAACTCAAATGAGTATCACTATGGCTTGTATTTTAAACCAGTTATAGATTCTAATTCTTCAATTCTGAAATAATGAGAACTATAGAATGTCATGAGAGGTGATTACCCATTACTGTTCCTGGTGAGGCAGAAATATTGTTATAATGCTGTTACTAAATTTTAAAAGCATCCCATGACTTTTAATAACAAGAGAAAGGCTATTTTTCACATAATGGATTATTTGTACTATTTGGAGTATCACATTTATTTCCAATCAACACAGAGTCAAGCCAAATACTACACCTGATTTTTCTTGGTCTCCAGAACCCTTCATAAGATATTTTAAGGTTAACTACTTGGAAGTTGTTTCTAACAATAACTATAAAAAAGCATTCTGCCTCAACACTTCTCCCCCTTCTACTATTTTCTAACTGCTCATTTTCCAAGTCTCTGATCCTTAGAATTTTTAAAATCAGATCTCAGGAATATTGAAAAAAATGTTATCAATATCTATTACATCTTCTAAAGAACATTTGACACATGTCAACAGAATACTCACAGAAAAGCAGATAGTGGATTGGGATGAGATATTACAAGAAATTTGGTGCTTGAGGAAATTTTCTGTAATCCTTACTACGGGGCAAAGGACACATTATACAAATAGTCAATGAGAACAAGAATAGATCTCAGTGTAGTAGGGCAACTGTTAGCCATGTTCATTGATAAGCATCAGGTGGAAGACCATGAAATCGTAGGAGATACAAGTATAAGTGTCTAAGATGGAGATGGCTGACTTAATAATCTATTCTTAAATGTTCATCTCTTTCTCCTTAAAAAACAATAAATTTCAAAAGCTTAAGTTTTTGTTTTTTTGGGTTTTTTTGTTTTTTTTTTTTTGAGTCGGGGTATCACTCTGTCACCCAGGCTAGAGTGCAGTGGCATACTCACGGCCACTGCAGCCTCAACCTGCTGGGCTCAGGCAATCCTTCCACCTCAGCCTTCTAAGTAGCTGAAACTACGGGTGCAAGCCACACACCCAGCTAATTTTTTTGTTTTTATTGTAGAGACGAGGTCTCACCACATTGCTCAGTCTAGTCTCGAACCCCTAGTCTCAGACAATCCTCTTACCTTGGCCTCCCAAAGTGCTGGGATTATAGGCTTGAGCCACCGTGCCTGGCCAAAAGCTTAAGTTTTAAACACACTTTTGATTTTTTTCTTCCCTGTTGGATATCACCAATACCCAGCTACAAAAACTTTGGTTCAATTCTCTAATGGAAAAAGAGATTTGTAGAGTGTCATGTTGAAATTTCACTCATTTATACCTCCTGGAAAGATAATTTGACTAATCCTGAAAGTTTAAACAGTATGAGGATGCATCTGGATCTCCCAGTCACTTCCTCTCTCCAGGAAGACCAGTGAAAGAATGTACTTGTTTTTAACTATCTCAGTATCTCTTGGTAAAGAGATGGAGGTTGAATCCCAGTTCAGCAGCTAATTGCATGACCTTCATCTTAGTCTTTATTTCTTTTGCTGCAAGATGAGGATGTTGGACTTATGATCTTTAAGATTCTTTCCCAGTTTATAAATTCCAAGTTCATTTATGGTTGCTGGACAGTTCAACTGGCATCTTCTTTCTGCTTTTTCATTATAAAAGTGTTTGTTGGAGTGTCCCTTCTTGTTCCTCTGGTGTAGTTAAGGCAATTATATTGTATCACTGACAGAAAGTCCCTAATAAACATTTCAGATATAACATCTAGATCATCCCTGAAGAAGTAATACGAGAAGTCACTAATGCTACCCATATGCACCACTTTCAGAGAATAGTGTAAGAGCTCTTTTATAATGAAGATGAACCTTATTAAGACATGCAGATAAGTGAAAGCACATGGACCCAGCCATGACTGGCTATTCAGTTTGGGGAAAGTCCTTCACTTCCTTGGGATTCAGTTTCTTCCTCTGTAAAATAAGGTGAACACAGAAGATAACTTCTAAAATTCCCCTAAATCCCAACAACTATAATTCTATGCCAACAAAAAAAAATAAACACCAAAATATGTCTTTTCATTGACTTACACAGTTCAAGATAACTCATATACTCAAAATGCTAATAATGGAATACATATATATACATATATATGTATGTCTTTATAATTTTTATAATCATATCACATTGCACTGGTTCAGAACTTGTTTTCAATAACTTTCACATGAAAAAACTCATAAAAGAAGAACAAAAGTCAGACAGTCAAATTTAATCCCACTGTTATTAACTTGAAGCCTAAACCATCTTAAGAACAGCAACAGGGAAATGCTATCTCAACAATAGTAGATAATGCACTAAAATTTTATGATTTCAACCAGATTTAAAAATACTTCATAGAGTTTTTGAGGTTTAAAGGTAATCTGAAATTTTTCAGGCTCAAAAGTAAAAGTTACTGTATATGTTGTGACTACAAAGTATGTCTGAATCTTAATAGGTTACCTAAAATTTTATAAGGCAATATCCCTATCACAGATAAGCTGAAATTGAAAAATAAGTGCTAGTTCAATCAAATTCAGGGCTGTGAAGAAATCCTTCCCTCTAATAAAGGTTGGTCATCTTTTAAATCTGTGTTGTTTTACTAAATATACTCCTTAAATATGATGCCAAGAATTACATTGTTTCTGGCTGCTCAGATTATATCCTATATTCTTGTTGACTATAGCCAAGTCAAGAGAAAAATTCTGGCCAATTGATGACGGAGATGGTAAGATGATGGAGTCTAGAGACTCTGAGAATATCATTTCCTTTTTGTTTGGTTATTTATCTTCCGCCTGATTGTCATTTTTTTCCCCCTTAAATGACGGCTTTGTTGTGCGCTTTAAGACCCTCAATATCAAGGAATTTAGCTCTGTGCTCTGAATGGATCAGCACATCAACTTCTCGAAAAGAAATTATACTGCTTAGCCTGAAACTTCCGCCTTATAGCTCAAGTATCTCAGTGGGATCCAGTTAAGGATTAAGATTTCTTATGTTCTCAAATCATGACTACACACTGTTAGCATCAGGACATCACATGGTTAGCATATACAATTTGCACTGATCTAGTTTCTTGAACTTCAGGCTTATAAAAGGGATTCCTGGCTTCTAGAAAGAGGGAAGCCCAAACATAAAAGTCTGTTTTTTGCTATGGATTATAGCAATGCCTTGCTTGTTTCCATTGTGTTCAAACTTCCTATCCATTATCAGGCTAAGATAAGAGTGGAGGAAAAAAAAACGATTTCAACAATAACACCAGTTTAAAAACTACTGGTGTCTTGCATTTTACTTTAAAAGAGGAGAGTACGGACTAGATCATCTCTGTAATGCTTTATTAAACTTTCTGAAAGGAATGGTGTGGTAAATTGCATAGAAAGAGCAATACTTTAAACAAATGCTTTGCCATACCTTGGTCTCCTTCATAAAATAGTTAAATAAGAAATGCATAGCAGATGATACTAATCATAATAATTGTGTATTAAAACATCTGAAATCAGACTCAGAAATGTTTTGCATAGAGAAAGTCCTGTCCATAACTCTTTTTATTATAAGGAAATAAAACGTTGTTCATATAATTTAAAAGGGCTTGGGGACAATTATCCCCATAGAAGGGGTGGAATCTGTTTCTGCAAGTTTCCTTCTTGAAATGAGTTAAAGCAAGAGGATCTACTCCGCGTGTTTTTTTCAAGTGATGTTTTTTCTAGAACTTTTAATGCTGCCAGTGAATGAAAGCGGCTCTTTGTGACTGCAGAGCCATCACTTCCCAATATCATTACAAAAACAAACAGCTCGCTGGGCGACTCCCCACATGACAATGGACCCGCATCTGTCAACAGACTTGCATTATGTGCCGTGTGGGAACATGACTATGACATTTGCTCTTGTGACAAGGCAAATTTCAGTGGCTCATCTGGAAAGAGATTAGCATTCACTATGCTGCAGCACCTTTCATCAAGCTAATGACATTTCAATCAGCACATTTTCTCCAGTTTCGGTACTTTGCCATCTGAGCACAAGTCTCTAATTACTCTCAAGCAACAAGTTTCACATCAATCTCACAATTTATGCACTCACCATACACCATTGCTCCTCCAGTTTCATGCAAGAAGCGGAATCGATGATTTTTAAATAACCAGATTGTCAAAATGGTAAGGATGAGCAAAAAATTAAAGACAAGCAGCTCCACCGCTCCCTGATGCTGAAACTGATACGCATCCCTTTCTGACATAGCCCGTGGCTGTCTCTCCATTCTCCAGTCTCCTTGGTATTCCTTAGATAACTACCTGGATAAGGGCTATTTTATCAAGATTTGCTTAAGATGATCTGACTGCCTGAGAATTTCAGAAGAAACACTGCCACTTACTAGCTACTTCACAAGCGTTCTGCCCTGGCTTAGTATTCAGATGGCTTCTAGTTACAACTTCCTGTTTCTCTCTTAAAGCAGCCTCGTCTCTTTTCAAACTCCAGAGAGCATGGTTTCATCGACTCTTAATGTCTTCAAATGATTCATTCCATGAAAATATTTTTCACATTGGACAGACCTGCAAGCAATGATTCTAAGATCTTCAGCCATGGTTTTATTGTTTCGAAAAAATCTTCTTAAGCTGCATAACTGGTAAACTGTAGATTAATAATAAAAAGATAGCCTTACATCAGAAACATTTTCTAAGTTCAGAAAGCCAGTTTTCAACTCAACTTCACCCATGTGAGGTCTCTCCTCTCCAATTAAAGCCAACCAGTGTGATGGGGATTGACAGCACTGATGTGACCAAAAGTGATTTCACAATTTTTCTTTTTTAGGTGAGAAGCAAGAAGGAATTTAGTATATGACTCTCTGTTTGGCTTTCTATAATTGGTAGTCACAGAACAGCAATTAAACTCTAATGTTTTCCCCCTTTATAAGCCCAGCACTTAGAGATGCACCTGTAAGCCCAGCACTTAGAGATGCAAAGGCAGGAGGATTGCTAGAGCCCTGTAGTTCGAAACCAGGCTGGGCAACACAATGAGACCTCAGCTCTACAAAAAAAATTTGAAAATTTGCCTGGCATGGTGGTATGTACCCATAGCCCAGCTAATCAGGAAACTGAGGCAGGAGGATTGCTTGAGCACGGGAGTTTGAGCCTACAGTAAGCTATGAACATGCCACTGCACTCTAGCCTCAATGACAGAGTGAGACCCCAACTCAAAAAAAAAGAAGAAAAGAAAAAGAATGAAAGCAAAAGACAAAAATAAAATTCTATCCCTGTCTACAACTATACTGTTTTGATATGTTAAGTCAAAAAAGAAAAAAAAAAAAAAGAAAGAAACTACACGCATGTCTTTAAAAGAAGAAACCAACAGCCACCCTTAGCAATACCACATACATGGATTTCTATTGGTGGAACTGTGGCCCAGCCATTCAGGACCCACGAATTTGTGGCAGATCACAGCTCCTCTGTTCTGTGGCAAAACAATGTTGGTCACTGAAAAATGGTTGTGCCAACCACAATGAAGCCTCCAGAATCTCAGGGTTCTGACCATAAGGGTGGTGATTCTTTAGCTGATCTTCCATATGGCAGGATGATTGTTTGCATTCACATTTTTATACTTTTTGAAATAGTTCAAGATAATACCCAAGGGATCTACTGCTTTTCAGCAAAATTCTGACTGGCTTGCTTTTAACAATTGATCTTATAATGCAATTAGATGTATCCTGGGGTTAAGTGAAGTTTTTCTTTTCTTTTCTTTTTTTTTTTTTTTTTTTGAGTTGGAGTCTCACTCTGTCGCCCAGACTGGAGTGCAGTGGCCGCCCCGGCCACCGCAGCCTCGACCTGCTGGGCTCCGGCGATCCTTCCACCTCAGTCTTCCAAGTAGCTGGAACTACAGGTGCGCGCTACCACTCCCGGCTAATTTTTTTATTTATTGTAGAGATGAGGTCTCGCCAAGTTGCCCAGGTGGGTCTCAAACCCGCGGGCTCAGACAAACCGCTCACCTCAGCCTCCCAAAGCACAGGATTACAGGCTGAGCCACCGAGCCCGGCAAGTGAAGTTTTTCATCATTTTACTGCATCACGGTAATGTAGGAGTATTAGTCACCTAGTATCCTCATTTTGACAGAATTAGTATTCAATTTATGTAGTGCGATTCACTGAGTAGGCAGAGCCCAAATACAGCCTGAAAAGATCTTTGTCGCTAAAAGCAAGAGGAGAAGTCAAACGTGTAATATTATTGGGTGCTAAATACCTTCTCAATAAACAGTTTCACCATCAGAGAAAGTCTATCAACCACTTAATCTAAAACTTTGCTGTTTCAGCTTCTTTGCCTTGTGCAACTTTTGAAGCTGATTTCCTCTCTGAGTTTAACTTAGCAGAGGGTATTTATGTGCACTGCAGATGTTCTTCTAACACATTACCCCTTTTGGCAGGCATATCTGTGATGACTAATATTCAGACTGTTTTGAAACCTGTCAGCTAATGCTTGTAAGCATTTCATGAAGTTTTACTAGCAGGTTCTACCTTTATAATTTTGCAACCCCACAGGTTTAGTCTTGAGTTGTTAGATTTACAAGATAACACAAATTCAAAACTTCCTGCCTTTTTTTCATTATCACTGAATTACTTTGGTTTCTTTTTATCACAATCATTCCATCTGAATAAACTTTCTTTGGTTGTCTTATGACATCCAATTGTACTCTCTTACCCAATAAAGCAACTTGACAAAATAATTAAAGATTTGTGGAATGTTTTGATTGGCTTGTACATTGCTTTTAAAAGTTTTAAATTTGGTGTCAACATGTTGAAATCAGTATATGTCACATAAAAAGTCATACTTATGGCTTCCTGAGAAAAAACTTGAAAGGGCTGGCACACTGAGCCACCTTCTCAAATGGCCACAATCTCTTGGGGCTGAGTAGTTTTCTGCTCCATTTGCAAGTTCACTTCACTCAACCGTGGTCTCTGTATGGCCTCTGCAGTCATTTAAATGTGTGGCTCCTGGTTTATTCCAGGAATGGAATGCATTTGCTATCCCATTGTCCAATCCTGAGGCTGCTGAATATTGGGGTGGAGCGCTGCAAAGAAAGGGGCCTCAAGAAACTTCTCTAATTCTTCCACTCGGAAAAGTAATTTAATTCCTCCTATTTTGTGTTTACCTCTGAGAATATTGTTTTTTAATTTTGCTGTACCAATTTTTTATTTGGCTTCTGGTTTTGTTCAGTCTCTACGGGCTCTACTTAAGGCAAAGATAAATGCAGACTGGTCACAGTGACTGGAACCTGCTCCCAACCCAAGATGAAGATTTCTGGGATGAAAAGGAATACTATGAGCTCTGGAACCAAGGACAGAAAGGAAAATATGGAGAGATATGCCACTCCAATAAGAAAATAAAATAGAAACAAATAACAATAGGACATCTACTGTGAACCAGAAACTATGCTAAGCAAATTTAATTTAGTCTAATTTCATACTTAGGTGATGGATTTAAGGCTCAGAGACAGTTGGCAACATATCCAAGTTTGCACAGCCAGTACGAATTAAATTACATGTGGGGTTTAAAGACTTTAAGATGACTTTTCATCTAGGGTGATCAACTCATTCCAACTTGTCAAGCACTTTCCTAGTTTCCTGTGTCCCAGGAAACCCCTCAGTCACAGGCAAACCAGGATAGTCACCCTGACAGCCAATGCTCCCAAATTCCCAAAGCCTATACTGCCAGTAATAACTATTCTTTATGAGATTCCTGAAAGAGATATTCGCACCAGGAAGAATATTAACTAAAAATTAAGGCACCATTTTATTACCTGGTAATCATACTCCTTAGTGTCAGGTTCTCAGAAGAAATTGGGATGGAACCCAAAACTTTGGCACAAGGCCCAAAGAGAAGTTCTTGATTGTCCATAAGTCCCAATCTTAGCAACTGTTTTTTTGCTTGTTTTTTTTGTTTTTGCTTTTTTTTTTTTTTTGAGTTGAAGTCTCACTCTGTCACCCAGACTGGAGTGCAGTGGCCGCTCCTAGCCACCGCAGCCTCGACCTGCTGGGCTCTGGCGATCCTTCCGCCTCACCCTTCCAAGTAGCTAGAACTACAGGCGCGTGCTACCACGCCCGGCTAATTTTTGATTTACTGTGGAGATGAAGTCTCGCCAAGTTGCCCAGGCGGGTCTCGAACCCGTGGGCTCAGGCAATCCACTCACTTCGGCCTCCCAAAGCGCTGGGATTACAGACTGAGCCACCGAGCCCAGCCAGCAATTGCTGACCATTGAGTTCAAGGTTCTTGCTGCAAGATGCAACAAGCAGGGGAGAGGCAGCAAAGAGAAAGAACAGGATGGCCCAGTCTATTGCAGTCACTAAGCCCTGTCTCAGCTTGCCCATCCAGCCACAATGAAACAAAAAATTAGAGTGAAGCTTCCCAGGCCAGGGAAACTTTGTGTAGTGCAACAGCCCCACCCACTAGTGAATGTGACCAAGTCAGCTTTACAGAATCTAACCCATGGCTTGAGAGCTCCTTGATCTTATATGAGGACAATAGAGATTTTTGTAGGGTCAGAGGATTGATAAGGTGAGTTTGCCTAAAATAGGGAGAAATACTAGGAGTTCCCCTTCCCTGCTTCTTGGAGTCCCTCTCTGCCCAGGCTTCCTTCCCTCTCAGCCATTAGGCTTAGCAGAAAATGCTTGAGACAATGCAGGCCCTGGATTAGAGGAAAATCCCATTGCCTCATTCATGTGGCCTCTCTCTTGGTATTTATCCTTTTTTGAGACCAGTGAGATAGGAACTTCAGATTTTGCCCACCCCACACCCAAGCTCTTGAAATGGGTCAGACCAGGACTCTAATTAATTTTACTGCAAGGTCACACAATGCATTAAACCAAAAATTCACCCCCTCTTCTATTTCCAAACTCTCTGTAGACCCAGCTTCCCTACCCCCACCCAAAAAGTCACATGTAAGCATAAATTTCTCCTAATTTGAATATTATGAACCCTTCTCATTAAATTTCCCTAGAGAAATGAGAGTCAAAATTTCACAGGGAAGTTAAGCATTACAAATGCTTAGATAATTTTAACTCCCAAAGAAATTCACCACCTAATGTCTGATTTTTCTTCTTTAACCTTTGCAAAGTCTGGTCTCTGAGATCCAGGGTCATGAACCCAGGACATGACCCCCAGCTTCATGTTCTTTCCACTGCTCTTTACTGTGGTGGCAAAGTGAGATAAAGGTCACTGAAAATTAGTGAAACGAGGGATTTGTGTCATTTTGTTAAACAATGCAAGCGCAGAAAAATGTGTGGCATGGATAGGGGTCCTTTCCTTGTTCTACACCACGGGTGTGTTTCGGTTTCACTCTGGTGAAGCTCTTATCTCTATATTGTTGACCCTTGATGTCCAGGAGTCTGTAAGAAGGCTCCCCACTCAATGATGATCAGAGAAGAAGGGAGTCTCCTTCCACCTGAATTAGAGGCCATTTAGCTGGTCTTATGCCAGCAGAC